CCCTTACCTGAGGCCTGTGTGGCAGCGGGATCCATTTGGTGGGGATCTGGGTTTCAGAAAAACAACTCAGGGGCATATGTGAAGATTTTTATCTGTAGTTTCTATAGGGAAACAAAATGTCTTGCAATTCTAACTTTCTTGGCTATGATGCAAGCTACTATTATCTTTTTTCTTATAAAGTTGTTTATTTACTTCTCAGGACTAGCTGGAATTTTTTTGAAGGAATTCAAGATTTTATTTCCATGCTTAGGGAAACCCACAGGCCCGTTAAGAGGAGTCCCTGTTCCATCTCAGACTTGGGGATAGGCTGTGGAGGAGGAAGGCTTGGGAACCCAAACCCTGGAAAACCTGGAGAGTCCCCACGCCAAGTAATTCTGTACCCTTGTATTGGCAGATCATCTGTTTTTTTGATTCCTGAAATATGGAGGAAGGAGCCCAGGGGAGGGGGAAAGACCTGGGAGCGAAAACAAGGGAGGGAGAAGGCAGCACGTGGTGTGGAAGGCAGGGACAGTGCCAGGAGCTGGGCCCAGAGCTGCCAGCCCTGGATTCTAATCACAGTTCTGTTGCTAAACTCATGTGACCTTGGCCAGATTGTCAGATGCATTTAAACCAGAGCAACTCCATCTTGAGTAGGGTCTGGGTAAAATGAGGCTGAGACCTCCTGGGCTGCATTCTCAGGAGGTTAAGACATTCTTAGTCACAGGCTGAGATAGGAGGTTGGCACAAGATACAGGTCATAAAGACCTTGCTCATAAAACAGATTGCAGTAAAGAAGCCGTCCAAGACCCAACAAAACCAAGATGGCGACAAGAGTGACCTCTGGTCATCCTTACTGCTGCACTGTTACCAGAACCATGACAGCTTACAAATGCCATGGCAACACCAGGAAGTTACCCTGTCTATAAAGGGGAGGCCTGAATCATCCACTCCTTGTTTAGCATATCATCAAGAAATAACCAAAAAAAAAAAAAAAAAAAAAAAAAAAAAAAAAGAGAAAGAAATAAAAAAAAAAAAAAAAAAAAGGGCAACCTGTAGCCCTCGGGGCTGCTCTGCCTTTGGAGTAGCCATTCACTGACTTTCTTAAACTTGCTTTTGCTTTGCACTGTGGACCCACCCTGAATTCTTTCTTGCTTAAGATCCAAGAACCCTCTCTTGGGGTCTGGATTAGGATTCCTTTCTAGTAACAAGAGCTCTTTCCTCCCTGGGGCTTTCCCTCGTTTTAAAATGAGGATAATTCCAGTCTTAAACCTCCTGGGCTCTTAGAACCCCTGAGATCTTTTTTTCTTTTGAGACAGAGTTTCGCTCTTGTTGCCCAGGCTGGAGTGCAGTGGCACGATCTCGGCTCACTGCAACCTCCGCCTCCTGGGTTCAAGCAATTCTTGTGCCTCAGCCTCCCGAGTAGCTGGGATAACAGGTGTCCGCCACCATGCCTGGCTAATTTTTGTATTTTTAGTAGAGACGGGGTTTCACCATGTTGGCTAGGCTGGTCTTGAACTCCTGACCTCAGGTGATCTGCCCACCTTGGCCTCCCAGAGTGCTGGGATATGGGTGTGAGCTGCCATGCCTGGCCCCCACTGAGATCTTATAGGGCTTTGGGGATCACAGAGGGCCCAGAAACGTGAGGGGCTGTTATTAAGGTGGGGGTGAGACTGGACCTAAGTGACCAGCACTGTTGCTGGGGACAAAACCCAGGACGTCTAACTCTTGTCTAAGGAGCCTTCCAGCCTGAGGCCTCTGTGACTAGTGGGGGACCAGGCACCCACTCTGACCCTGGCACTCTTGTCCTGTCTGACCAGTGAGGTACAAGTGAAACTCAGCCCACAGTCTCCAGCCAAGTCATTTCCATCTCAAGGCAGGGCCTACTTTCACTGTAGATGATGCCTTGGGCAGTTTCTTCTCATGTAGCTACATCTAGTTTTAAGTTTCAGTGGGCAGCAGGGAAAGTGTGTTGGGCTCTCGGTGGACACGGGAGATCACCCAGGTAGTTGTCGGCCACTTCCTCTCACTGCTGTCTTCAAAGTCTGGCGGGCACTGACCACATAGGGAGGGCTGCAGGCTGCAGCCTGCTCAGCAGAAGCTCCTGGAAAGAGCAGTGTTCATGGAACGCTGTGCCGAGGCCGAGGAAGGTTCTAGCCCTGTGCCCTACACTACAATAGGAAGTCCAGTCTTGAAAACACCAAGTCTTTTGGGTCATTTCTCTCCTTGACTCCGTGCCCCAGGACACCATGCTGACTCAGCCTGCCGCTTGTGTCTCTGGTCTTTGTTGCCAGTGACAGAGCCTGAGTACTCTTGAGAGGGTGGGTGGGAGAAGACAGGCAGCTCTGCTCCACCCAGACCCCTTACAGGGACAGTGCCAGGCTCCAAGGGCAGCCCAGAGGGTCTGGGGAGGGCTGAATGCTATCCCCTCACCACCCTCCCCTCTGACCCTAGGAGCAGCTGCTTTATCAGGAGGCCAGGCTGGGGGCTGCCTGTGCACTGTGTGTGGTTGTTAAAGGGGGTACCAGCTGGCTGTCCCTCCTCAATGTGCTTCCCACAGCTGTCACTGCATCTGAAACCACGCCATCAGAGGTGTGTCCCTCTGAGGAATGGTGCTTCTTCTGGTCCCAAGAAGCCCTGCTTCAAAGTGCCAGTACTGCAAGAGGGTATGTATCAGCTATCACCAGCTGATTACCTGGCACCCTTACATATCTGCACTGCCGTGCTGATGCCAGGCACACCCAGAGCTGCGGTCTCAACTGTTAGCTTAAGAATCACCTGGAGTCAACTGCTTCCTGCTTAGAAACAACAAACTCAAAAAGGCATTTTGAAGACAGTTGGGGAAATCTGAATATGGACTGTAAAGTGATACTGAATTCATGTTAATGATCTCAAGTGTGGTAATGGTATTGAGGTGATAGAGGAGAACATTTAGGGGTCAGGTATTTAAGGCTGAAGAACTGATGTCTGCTGCTTACTCACTAATGGGTCAGCCAAACACACACAGGTGCATTAAGCAAATGTGGCAAAATAGGAGTTGCCACTGAATGGAGGGGGTAGGTCCATGGGGATTAGCTAACTTTTTAAAGCCTTTTTGGTGTCTGTTAAAAAGATCATAATACAAAGTTGGGGGCAAAATAGCCCGATGACTTTAGAATTCCAGGCGTTCTCCCGTGTCCACATCCCTGCCCCCAATCTGTGGCTCAGCAGGCCCTGGTGGTGCTCAGATGGGCACGCAGACGAGCTCTCCAGGTGATCCTGACTCGGGTGCCCCTCAGAGCCCACTGGGAGACACTGCTGAGCGCCCAAGGCTCAGCCTCAGAGCATCCTGGCTCTGAGAAGGCAGTGGTCAGATGGGTGAAAGCCACCGTGCTGAGTACAAGAAGCCCAGCACTGGGCTGGAGCCCCGAGGCACCCCGGTTCCCTTCTGTACTCTCATCCCTGCAGGCGGCAGCACTATGTACCAGCTTGGGGCACCCTCCTGCTGCAGGCCATGCCCTGCCTCCACCCTCATCCTCCAGCAGCTTTCAAGCACTTACACACCATGCTGGCTCCAACCTCCTGGTCTTTGCTCAGACTGTTCCTTCTGCTGAGAGCCTTTCTCGCCTATCTCCCAACCCCTATTCTCCCCTAGAAGCTCCCCCATTTGCATAGCTAATGCGTACCATCCATGTATACTCTTACAGGAAGGCTTTCCGAGATGGGCCAGTCACCCCTTTTGGGTGCTCCTATAGCACCCTCAGCTACCTCTACTGTGGCCCTTACCTGATTTCCACAGACTGTGACACTCACTGGTGTGAGAGCCTCTGCAGTCTCCCTGTGGAGTCACCCAGTGCTGTTCCCAAACGTTCCTGGCTTTCCCCGTCCAAGTAGCATGTACTGCCTGGTCTCTTACAGGTGTGTGGGACATGTGGCTAGTTCTGACTCATGATCTGCTATCACAAGGGGAGGCCCTCCAGAACTTTCTCTTAACCTCCCATCCAGCAATCCACAGCATCAGAGGTGGTGGATCCCTGGGAGCTGGGTCCTTGATAGCAATCATGAGCAACACCTCCCTGCTGATCTGCAATGGGCATGAAGTTTTGGACAGAAAGAAATCCCTGTTGTTTTCAACCATGGTGATTTGGGGGGTGGTTTGTTATCACAGCACAACCTAGCCCACCCTGATACAGATGCCGTGTTCATTTTTGTATCCCCAAAAATCTAGCCCTATTCCTAGCACAAAGCATATACTTAAGAAAAATTTCCTATTGCAATTTTTCTTGGCTGTGAAACTGGGCTCAAAGACCAGGCAGACGTTGTAATACACACCACTCCAGTGTCCTCAACTTCTTCCCTGATGACGCAGGACTCTCCATGAGGTGCCCCAAAGCATCCCTTTACAAGGAGGCGCACATACTCCTGTGACCCCTTAACAGCTCAGACAGGCTCCTGGATGAATCCCAAGTTAATCAGGAGCTACCTCTTGCCCTGGTGAAGGCTCTGGTGAGGAGTGCAGCTTTGCAACCCACTGGCCTGCATAATAACTTGTGAAGATCTTGGGAAGATCCCTTGACCTTCAGACCGTCTCCCTGGAAAAAGCATCACTGCTTCTTTCTTGAAAAAATATTTTTAATTCGTGTGGGTATATAATAGCTGTATAAATTTATAGGGTACATGTGGTGTTTTGATACAGGCATACAATGTGCAATGATCAAATCGGGGGATTGGCGTATCCAACACCTCAAGTATTTAACATTCCAGTTCCACTCTTAGTTATTTTAAAATAGGTAAGTTGTTAACTATAGTCACCCTCGTGTGCTAGCAAATACTAGATCTTATTCATTCTTCCTAACTGCTATCCTTCCCAGCCTCTGGTAACCATTATCCTATTATCTCCATGAGTTCAATTTCAACTTTTGTTTAGCTTCCACATATGAGTGCGAACATGTGATATTTATCTTTCTGTACTTGACTTATTTCCCTTAACATAATGGCTGCCAGTTCCATCCATGTTTTTGCAAGTGACAGGATTTCATTCTTTATTATGGCTGAATGATATTTAATTGTGTGTTCACTTTCTTTATTCATTCATTCCTTGATGGACACTTAGGCTGATTCCATTTCTTGGCTATTGCAAATAGCACTATAGTGAAGTGCTGGTATCTTTTTCAATACACTGATTTCCTTGCTGATGGATTCCCAGCAGTGGGATTGCTGGATGATACGGTAGTTTTTTGTTTTTTTTTTTTTCCAGACAGAGTCTCACTCTGTTGGCCAGGCTGGAGTGCAGTAGCATGATCTCAGCTCACTGCAACCTTCGCCTCCTGGGTTCAATTCTCCTGCCTCAGCCTCCCAAGTAGCTCAGATTACAAGTGTGTGCCACCATGCTTGGCTAATTTTTGTATTTTTAGTAGAGACAGGGTTTCACCATGTTGGCCAGGCTGGTCTCAAACAGCTGACCTCAGGTGAACCGCCCGCCTCGGCCTCCCAGAGTGCTAGGATTATAGGTGTGAGCCACCACACCTGGCCTATTTTTAGTTTTTTGAGGAAACTCAGTACAATTCTCCATAGTGGCTGCACTAATTTACATTTTCACCAATGGTGTATGGGGAATTCCTCTCTCCCCACATTCTTGCCAGCATTTGTTGTTGACTGTCTTTTGGATAAAAGCCATTGTAACTGGGGTGTGATGTCTTGTTTATGGCCTCCCTAGCCTGTGGCCCTTTCCTCTTGCCAGCTCTCCTGGGACCGAGGCATGCCTCCCTCCTCTCCCTAAGCCCCAAGGACTGCAGGAGCTAAGGTGATCAAATTGACCCTGAGGTATAAATAGGGAAGCAGCAGCCCTCAAAGTCAGCGTGGCCACGTTAGGGCAAAGTGGATGAAGCTGCCAGTGCGTTTGGACTTTGCATGCCCTGAGAGGTTGCAGGTCAGAGAGAGGCCAGAACTGTCGCTGCTTTACCCACAGGGACCCTCCAGCCAGACCTCCCCTCAGGTCTCCCAGCCTCAGCCCCTGAGACAGTGGTTCCCCGATGCCTTGAGAGAGGGGAGCTTGGTTTCCTTTTCCTTGGGGGTCCCAGCTCAAGGCAATGCAGGGCAGCTGATGGGGCAAGAGTTGGGCAGAGGGTGTGGGAAAGTCACAGTGGAGATTCTGGGGGCATGGGGTAAAGGCTCCAGGCCTCTCCATGCCACCAAGTTTCCAGGATTTTAAGTTCCTCTGACTACAGGTTCACACAGCCCCTGCCCCAGGCTTGTTGTCTGGAGCTCTGTGTTCTCTGTGACACTGCTGCAGGGGCCACACTTATCCAAGAACTCTCTGCATGTCCAAAGGTCACTCTGCAAGGAGGGGCCTCTCATGCCCCTCACGAGTAGATGGCTTTGTGCTTTCCAGAGCCCCTTCACATCCATTATTTCCTCAGACCTTGGTAGTCCTCCCAGCCCAGAGGGAAGAATATTATTGTCCATGTTCAGCAGTAAATGAACTGAGACCCAGAGAAGTGAAGAAAGTGTCCCAGGTCCACACAGCAAGTCTGTGACAGAGGAATACAAGACTGGGCCTCCAGACCTATAAACAGTTTCCTGTCTGCTTTACTAGACCAGGTGTTCTAGGTACAAAAGGGCAAGGGAACATTTCTGGAAGTTTTGTGCTCAGGCTGATGCATGTACACACACACAGACACACACACACACACACACACACAGATGCATGCACACTTTCAAAATGCTTAATATCATAAATATCAGAGAACTCTGAAATGGTTGTCCACGTAGGAGGCCAGATGAGTCTCCTCAAGCAGGGTCTCGACCCCGAAGTGGGGGCGAGTCACCCAGGTGGGGGCTGCCAAGGTGCCCGGGAACCAGGATGGGCCATACCAGCCAAGCCTCGCACTGGCCTTTATGACGCAGAAACAGATGTTGGTGGCTAAGGGACCCCTCACGGTGAGCACACAGTGGCTGGTGGGCTCTGGGGATTCATCTGGCTCAAATTTTCATAATTGGACTCCTGGGCCTGTGGCCTGTGGACAGGAGAAAGTTGAATGACCGCCCAAGACAGGTGGAGGTCCCCAACTACCCAAACTATATGCCAGCAGTGGGCCAAGAAGAGGAGACATGCTGGGGAGCAGTGCGGCTGGAACCGGTGGGGCTCAGAGGCGAACGGCATCCGAGGCTGGGCAGAGTCAGTAATCGGGAGGGGCTCACAAAGGCCAGGGCAGCCCAGATAGTAGAGTCTCTGTCTCCACCTGAGGCCTCAAGACTGGCTCCATGTCCCTGATCTACAAATCAGGATCTCCAGACCTGGCCTCTGGGTCCCCAACTGCTTTCCTGACTTCCCCTAGGACATCTCAATGGGAATCTCAAATCTCAATGTCCAGGGTGCTACACGTGACCCTCACACCTGCCCCACTCTCTTCTCCTCTTGTCTTTATCTCAGGAAGTGGCACTTAGGGCTCAGGCTCCCAACCCGGGCAGCCCAACTCCCTCCCACACTGCATGCTGCCCACTGGGCCGTTGGGCAAGCCCTGCCTCCTGTCTGCCCAGCCCCCTACTGCCAACCCTGCACCTTCTTCCAAGCAGCCAAGCCAGGATTAGCTTTACCAGTGGCCTCCACCCAGTTCTCCCTGGCCTGCTTGTTCTGATGGGGGCACTGGTCTGCTTAAAACCATTTGGTGACTTCCCATTGCACCCACAATAACCCCCACTCCTTTCCTGCCTTCCTCCCACCCACCCTCCAGAAATGCCTGCCTCCTTCCTGGGCCTTGCCTGAGCCTTTCTACTTAACTTTTCCTCTTCTGGGCCGCCCCACTCCCATCCTGTCTTACATGCACACTCCAATGGGGCCTGCTCTCTGGAATTCCACCCCCCCTCCCGCCCAGGCCCCAGCCTCCATCCTCAGGTCCCCTCAATGCCATGTGCTCCAAGAAAACTTGATCTAAAGCAGCCTCAGCTCAGCAGTGGGCCCCCTCCCCAGGGGATCTGCTGCATTGCTGTGTCTATTTCCTTCACAGCTCGCTCTTTACAATGTCAGGCCACCAGTTTCTGTATTTATTAAAATTCTCCACAATAGGATGTGAGTTCTGTTAGATCAGGGATTTTGCTGTGTCTTTAGTACCAGTGCCTGGTACACAGTAGGTACTCAATAAGTATTTGTTAAATGACTGAACAACAGTCGGCTTTCGGATTCAGGGGCATTGGTGCGGCAGTAAATCAGCAAACAGGGACACAGGACAGATTGTAGGGCTGCGGAGAGGTCGGCAGGCAGCTGACCAGAGGAGCCGCCAGCAGTGTGGCACCTCCAGCCCTCAGAGCGCAGGTGGGTGCAGTTATGGGAGTGCCTGGGCTCCTCCTCCCACTCCTATCACCCCTGCTGGGATTAGCCACAGCCTGTCCAGGGTCTAGGAATTGGATTATTTCTCTTTCAACACCAGCCTTCACAGGGGTGGATGCCACAGAAGAGGAGAGTGTGACCCAAGAGTAAGTGATTTCCTAGGGGACCCTGGGCCCCTCACCTAGGCCCTCAGAATGCCTAAGGGCTCGTTTGTTTGCAAAGCCTTCGGCAGAGTGCTGGGGAGAGGGTAGGGATGAGTGTCCCCAATGTGGCTTTTGTGTGAATCTGCCTGTTCCAGAATGTGGAGGGGAAACTACAAGAAGAAATACAGCCTGGAGTTGTGGGGAAAGAGCAGGTAAGCAACCTGGTCCGTCCAGGGAAGGGCTTGGTGGGCTGCAAGAGGGGTACCTTGGTGGGCTGCAAGGAGGGACCAGCCCCTGGTCAAGGCAGAACCCTGGCCCCAGCTCTTTGCCATTTCTTCCTCCTCCTGCCTGAACCCCCTGGCTGATGGGGACTAGGTGGGTGGGGTAGGGTGGAGGTGGGGAGCTCACTTACCGTGGGGGCGTGTCCGGGGTGTCAGGGTGTTCTGTGGAAGGGACAGTGAAAGAGGAGGCATGAATCTCTACCGAAGTCTGCAGCCTATGCGCCCGCCCCCACCCATGCCATGTGGTAGGGGTCTCAAGAAACCACTGTGAAGCAAACAGCAGACTAGCAGGGTATGAAGCTGCACCATGAAAATCCTGCCCGGGAGTTAGTGGGGAGGGGGGTGGACTGAGGAGCAGTCCAGTAAAAGTCCGCTCTTCTAAGCACCCTGAGCACAAAACACTTGGTGAGTTCAAAGAACAGGCAAGAAAGCCATTGTGGCCACAACAGCAGGCAGGGCCACTGTGACAAGTCTGGATCTCTTCTAGTGAAGAGTGTGAGGCTAGTGCTATGGAGCTGGGAGTTCTGAGGGGCTCTGAGAAGCCCCCTCCCTCTCTGGGGCATAGGGCAGACTTCTGATCCAGCTCAGTGACAGCAGTGGTGGCTCTCACAGAACACCCTGCTAGGAAGAGCATTGCTCCTTGTTTTCCTAGCTCATGCCTACTTACATCTTTTTATTTAGCTCTCTCAGTACGGCTGGTGTGAAGCCTTCATTAGAGCCCCACCAGAGGGAGGCATACTTCCTCTGGCTTCTGCAGACCTGGGGTCTAGGAGAGCCCTTCTCATAAAACACACTGCAATGATCTTCCTACTTGTCAGTGCCCACTGCAGGGCAGGGAACCATGCCTTATTCATCTCTGTATTCCCAGCACCCACACAGCACATAGCAGGTCCTCAGGATGTTTCTCCTATCATACTGGAAAGGTGCTGTTTAGGAAGGTCAGACCTCCAGAGGAATCATTTGCGAGGTGGTGGTAAAGGGATGGCTCTAGAGTTAGACGGGTCTGGGTCTCCATCTCTGTGCCTCTATCAAAAGGCAGGTTATGTAATCTCTGAGCCTCGGCTTCCTTAATGCAAAATGGGTTTGTTTGTTTTTTTCATGCTGGTTACACCTGCTGGGCTTCATGCAAAGAGAGGAAAGCTCCACGATGCACAGGGCAAAAAACCGACGTTCTGGTAGTGCCAGGTGGTCTTATCTAAGAGGAGAGTCCTGGCCCTGCCCCTCGCGCCCACCCGGATCTGGGGCGCACCCACCTCGGCGGCGGCGGGCGGCGCGGGCGGCCAGGACCCCAAGCAGCAGCAGCGCCTTGAGGCCGAGGGCGCCAAGCAGGAGGGCGACCGTGGAGACTCCGCTGGCGCCGTGGAAGCGGAACAGGTAGACGCTGGCCTCCGAGCGGCCCAGGCTGTTGGCGGCTGTACATGTATAGCGGCCGTCGTGGGTCAGCGCGGGCAGCTCGGCGGTCACCAGGTGACCGTGACCCTGACCGGGGCTCGGGGCAGCGGTAGAGCTGTCGCCTAGGGCCGGGCCGGACCAGGCGAGGGCGGGCGGCGGCTCCCCTTCTGCCGTGCAGAGCGCGCGGAAGGCGTGCGCCGGGCCGGGCAGCACCGAGATGTTGACGATCCGCGGTGCAGCTGTAGGGGAGAGGGCAGACGACTGTCACCAGCCGCGGTCAAGGTGCGGTAAGCATAGGGTTAGAAAGCGGATCGCAGTGCTCAAGCGGCGGGCAAAGGCAAGAGCACCCCCCTCCCTTTTGCCCTTTGGACTCCGGAGCCGGAGCGGTGGGGTCAGGTCAGAAGGGAGGAACGGGCACTTGGGTGCCAGGCTGCCACCGTCCCAATACACGTGTGGCCTTGGGAGAACGACTCTACCGTCTGTGCTTCAGTTTCTCCATGTGTAAAGTGAGGATCATGATAGCAGTTGCCTTGAGGGGTTGCTGAAAAGATTTGGCAAATTAATACTTGTGGGTGCTTGGACTACGTCCTGGCGCCCTAGCAAAAGCTAAGTGGCCATTATTGTCGCAGAGCAGGGTAGGGGCTAGAGTGGAGAGCCACTGCTCTAGGGACGGGACTCTGGTTCAGGCCTCTTTGTATCTCAGGGTCTGGCGAAATGCCTGGCACTACTCGGTGGATTCTCTGTGCACCCCTGGGTAGAGGGGCTGCGAGTGTCTTTTAGGGCTGGTAGCACACGCCCATTGCACCCTTTGCCATATTTAGGATGGCCATTCACTTGTCTTCCTCTCCGCTTTAGTCTGAGAGCCACTGGGGACTCTCCACGAGAGTCATTGCGATCCTATCCCGGGGCCCACCTCAGCCCTTCCTGGGACCTGGATTCTGCATTTCCCAGGTGGTCCTGAACCACCCCCAAGTGTGAGGCCCCTGGAGTAGCGGGGAGGGCTGGGTCTCGTAGCCCTTCCTGGCGCAGCGGACGGCACAGCGCCTGGCACCCAGGAAGCCCTTGGGGCTGGGCTGGCAGGCGGGCAGGCAGGGAGGCCGGGAACCCGCCCCGCGCAGCCTCACCAGTCACGTGCAGTCGGACGCCGTGGCGGCTCTCGTAGCGGTCGTGGACGTCGCCGGCGAACTCTACGCGGCAGAAGTAGCGGCGGTCGTCGGTTAGGGCCAGGCGCTCGACGCGCAGCGAGAGGTCGTTGCGGCGCGGGTTGCCCAGCAGGCGGAAGCGGCCGTGCAGGCTCAGCGCCGTCTGGCAGAGCTCGCTGCCCCGTGCCGCCGCGCAGCGGAACACCTGGGGGCCCGCGTAGGGCTCGCCCGCGCGCCAGATGGCCGTCAGCGGCCCGTCGTAGTGGCGGTGCGGGTGCGTGAAGGTGCAGGGCAGCACCGCCGCGTCGCCTGCCGCCGCGCTCACCTCGGCCGGCACCTGCATGGACCAGCGCTGCGCCGGCGAGCCTGCGGGCGGGGCGGGTTGCGTCAGGCTCGGGGCGCTGGGTGCCCGCACCCGGGGCCTGGAAACCCCGCGACTTAGGAAGCGTTCTCCCCACTCCCAGCCTGGAAACCCCAGGACTCAGGAATCGTCCCCCACTTCCAGGGGAGCTGGAACCCCACCTTGTGACTTGAGGTGCCTGCACTTTCTTTCTTTTTCTTTTTGAGACGGAGTTTCGAGTTTCGCTCTTGTTGCCCAGGCTGGAGTGCAATGGTGCGTTCTCAGCTCACTGCAGCCTCTGCCTCCCGGGCTCAAGCGATTCTCCTGCCTCAGCTTCCCGAGTAGCGGGGATTACAGGCATGTGCCACCATGCCCAGCTAATTTTGTATTTTTAGTAGAGACGGAGTTTCTTCATGTTAGTCAGGCTGGTCTTGAACTCCTGACCTCAGGTGATCCGCCCACCTGGGCCTCCCAAAGTGCTGAGATTACAGGCCTGAGCCACCGCTGCATGCTGGTGCCTGCACTTTCAGGGCCTGCACTCCTGTGAGTTGGGAGGTACCTGGGTTCCACCCACTTTTCCCTGGGACTATTCTCCTCTTTGTTTTCTAACTCACCTGCAGGCCCCTTGACCCCACACTCTTACCCTTAGTTTTTCCCCATCAAAACCTGCCCTGTCGAAAGCACTGGGATCCCGTGGTTACAACAGACTCCCGAGATCCCCAAGATGGTGATGATAATAGCACTTACTGTGCGCCTCTGTGTCCAGCAAGCTCTCCGTGGTATCTATTTTAGTTCTCACACATGAGCCTACAGAAAAGCACAGTTATCCTTGGGTTACATGTGAGAAAACTGAAGCTCAGAGGAGTTGAGTAAGTGAAGTCACGCGGCCAGGATGGGGCCCAGCCAGTGTTCAGGATTGCTTCACTCCATAGCCTGTATACCAGAGCACTAGAGACCAGGAAGTCTGGGGCTCCTCCGAGGACACCAGCACTTCCACTTACAGAGAGGAGGAAATGGGCCCTGCGAGGGGGCAGTATGTTTATAAGCTAATGCGTTGAGTTGGTGCATGAGATTCCTCTAGAATCCAGGTATACCCAAGTGAACTGTGCCCTGACTGGCTTCCCTAGTGCCTGGGCAGGGAGGGAGCTGAGAGACCAGAAAGATGGGCTGTTTCAATGCCTCTTTGTGCTGTGCAAACACCTCTGGACACAGTTTCCCTGTTCCCCACGTTGCAAGCCATGGAAGTGTGGTCAAGTCAAGGTCTGGAAGCGGAGCTGTGCTTCCGGCTCACAGAGGCCTGGTGAGCTGCAGGGTGCGTGTGGTTGCCTATGCATGCTCCTTTAGGGGAGAGGGGAGCCCACCTCAGAGGATTAGGCCAGGGGTGGTGCCTCCCAAGGAGAGAGGGCAGTCTTAGAAGCCTGCCCAGTGGGTGTCCCAGGGTGCAGTTCACAAAAGGATCTTTAGAGGAAATATTACACCCTTGTATTTCCAAAGGCTTTAAAGTTTACACAGCGCTTTCATAGATACCATGTCATGTGACCCTCAAAACACCCAGTGCAGAAAGGCAGGGCAGCTATTGTTAAAGGTGAGAAAATGAAGGCTCAGAGTCACACAGGTCGAAGATGGGAGATATCTAGCTTTTCTGACTCCAAGCCCAGTGCTCTTTGCTCTTTGAGGTAATTTATCCCAATTCGCTCCTTGGGCAGGAGTCCTCTCAGCTCTATCCACCGCTGGCCGACCATCCTCCATGGGGACCATCTATCTATGAATGATCACAGGTCAGGACGTTCCTGCAGCACAGAACCAAAATCTCCCGCTGCCCACAGGACCACCATGGCTCCCTGGTGTGTGCATGTCACCTTCTCATGATGGCCCCTTGCAGGGTCTTGTCATGACTATCTTGGACCCATTGAGCCTTCTCTTTTCTGATGGAAAAATCCCAGTCCCTCCACTGCCCCTCCTTATCCTTACTGTCCTCTTCCTTCACTGTAGTGTCCCGAGCCTGGGGACTCCAAGTGTGTGCTCTAGGGGTGCTGGACCTGTGGAGTCGTGAGTCCTGTAGTGCTACCCTGGGCTGTGGGTGCTGTGCCTGGAAAAAATCCCACTATGTGTTCATGTCCAGCTTGCCATCAAGTAAAAGTGTTACCAGATGGTGCCTCGAAGTTCCAGGCTCTTGGTGCCACAAAGAATTGGACATGACAGAAACAGCAAAGCAAAGCAGCAAGAGTGTACAGCACAGTACCATTGTAGTGGGAGAGTGGTCTGACTGCTACAAAATAAGATCAGCACCAGTTTGCTACATTTCATGGCCTTTTCTGTGTTTTTTCTCTTCTCTTCCTGAGCTGCCTAATCTCTAGCCAGAATCTGCCCTTTGATTGATAGGCTGCTTAGTTACTTTGGCTTTTGTGTACTTGCACAGTTACCTCCATCTCATAATTTTAAGTACGTGCATGAGGTACAGTCCATATGCATGGATCTTAAATACTAATTACTATACAGGGTCATTTTAAGTCTACTTTTCTTTCTAATGTGCATGCCCATCTCTGAGAAGCTTATCTTTACTGGTCTGGTCTGGATCTTGCTGGCCATGGGGTTTCTTACTTGCTTCTTTATCTCCATCAAAAGATAAAGATTTATTTTGCCTTGTTTTGGCTGCTCAACTTCTGCCTCTTCTCTTGCTTCCTGCTCACCTGCCCCTTCACTGTGCTTCTGTTCCTGCTTATTCTCCTGCTCCAACCTCCAATTCCCTTTGCTCTTCTCCTGCCTCAAAACTCCAAGTTCTTTTTTCATACAACCTGTTTTTAAGCCTAATTTCTTTTTTTTTTTTTTCTGGACAAATGTAATTACATTTTTGAACCCGAGCAGAGGACCTAACATTTTATCTCTAGAAAGAGTTTGTTTGTTTAGTTGTTAATCATCAAAGAACCTGTCTGAAGGTTTTGCTGGTTCAGTCAGTACTTCTAGCTGCAGAAAGCATCTCTCCAGTCTTGGGGCTGAGCCCCTGCCTTAGTTTCCCTGCTGCTTCCCACTTTCTGTGACCTCAGCCTCCTCTGACATCTTGCATTACGTGGGCATCGCAGAGCCAGGCACAGATTCCCCACATAGTACTTGCTATTGTACAGTCATCAATTCAGCAAACATTTATTGGACACTTCTCCACTTTATGCCAGGCACTGGGGTACAAGCTGTGGTGACAAACGTGAACAGAATATCTTATCAGCCTGCTGGGGCTCACAGCTTAGAAAGGGAGACAGATTTGTAGACACGTAATTACACTACAGTCTGCCAGGTGCCATAAAGATGGGCTTGAACAATATCCCTTCTGTCTGAACATGGCTTCTGTCCCATTTCACTCACCAGCTCCTCCTCTTCATCCTCAGGGCTCTGTTGAGTCTTTCCGACAGCAGGAGGAGTTCCTTGAGCCCCAAGCCCTCTGTCCCCTGTGCCCCAGAGCTGGCATAGGTACTTCCTCTGTATGAGCATTGCCTTTGAACTGTATGTCTTGCCCAGACACCCAGAAGCTCTGGCAGGGCAGGGACCACATCTGTCTGGTTCTGTTTATGTTGATATTGCCCAGCATGGTACCTGCCTCCTAGTAACTGACATTGGATTGACTTGCTATGTGAGAGCAGAAGGGTGGGTGGCCAGGCTGACAGGAGACGGTAGGGGTGGTTAGAGGAGGGGTGTATTGGGCAGGCAGGGATTGGAGAACCCTTGAGAGAGATATCACTTCAGCAGAGCCTTGAGAAAGGGAGGGGACTGCACAAAGCCTTGAGGTAGCATTCTAGGCAAAAGGATCAGCAGAGCAAAACCACAAGGCATGGACATCAGTCAGCATAGAGGTTGCCAGACATGAAAGCATAATGAGGACAGAGCACGCAGTGCTTTGGGGAGTCCTCATCTCATTAAGAAACAATGCTCTGTCATGTGGCATGTTTCCATGGAGTTACGGATTTTTTTCTGCATATCTTGGTTAATTTGTTCCCTTCTGTATCAATGCAGCATGTCATGTTCTTCATCACTACAGCGCTCTAATGAATCTGGATGGTTCCCTCACCTTTTCCCTCTTATTCATCCTACAGTCCTATATATGTATACCTGAGTCTTTGCCCTTTTTTTTTTAGATGGAATTTCACACTTGTTGCCCAGGCTGGAGTGCAGTGCTGTGATCTCGGCTCACCGCAACCTCCGCCTCCCGGGTTCAAGTGATTCTCCTGCCTCAGCCTCCCAAGTAGCTGGGATTACAGGCATGTGCCACCATGCCTGGCTGATTTTGTATTTTTAGTAGAGAAAGGGTTTCTCCACGTTGGTCAGGCTGGTCTTGAACTCCTGACCTCAGGTGATCTGCCAACCTTGGCTTCCCAAAGTGGTGGGATTACAGGCGTGAGCCACTGTGCACAGCCATGCCCTTTTATAGAAATTTTAGTTTATGAACTGCAACAATAATGACAGCAGCAAACTTTTCTTGAGAATTTGCTTGGTTTGCATTAAATCTGTACATCAGTTTAGAAAGAACTGACACTCTCAAATGATATTCTCATCTCATTTAAAATGCATAGGAGGCTGGGTGCGGTGGCTCACACCTGTAATTCCAGCACTTTGGGAGGCTGAGGTGGGCAGATCACTTGAAGTCAGGAGTTCCAGACCAGCCTGGCTAACATGATGAAACCATATCTCTACTAAAAATACAAAAATTAGCCAGGTGTGGTGGCGGTCACCTGTAATCCCAGCTACTTGGGAGGCTGAGGCATGAGAATTGCTTGAGCCCGGGAGGTGGAGGTTGCAGTGAGCTGAGGTTACATTACTGCACTCTAGCCTGGGCAACACAGTGAGACTCTGCCTCAAAACAAACAAACAAACAAAAACAAATAAATAATAAAATGCACAGCCACCCCATCAGGTGCTGTCATTAGCTCCCTCTTAGAGAAGGAGAAGCTGGGGAGAAACTGCTCGTAGAACCGAAGCAACTTGGTGAAGTCACAGAGCCAAGGCTTCACTCTGGGTAGTTTTGCCTCTTTTGTTCAAAGGATTTTTACCTTTACCCATAGGCTCCGTGGCTCAAGGACAATAGCCCAGTTTGAAAATGTCCTGAAATGTGCTACGAATGGCAGGTCTGGGTCCCTCCCTCTCTGGGTGGGCTTTGCTCTAGGAGCAGAAAAGGAACACAGAGGCTCTTTCACCAAAGGTTGCGATCTTGGCTCCCACTAGAAAGAGATTTGTCTTTCCTGTTTACCTGCTGAATGGGATTCAAAGAAGTGGGCATTTGGACTCCCGCTTACACAGAGACCTTTGGATGAGGCTGCCCAGAGGACTCAGGGTGAGGGTGGGAAGGACTCAGCAGGATTTGCCCAAGGAAAAAAATGCATTTGCTTTGGCTGGAATCCAAGCTCCCAGTGACATTAAATGTCCCCTGTGACATTTAACATTCCCTCTGGCAGCCTATGCCTATCTGCTAAGACAGGGGAGGGAGGATTCCTGAACTGGAATCATGGCCCCTTACTATAGGGTCTCTATTCTCCCTACTTTATCTGTGTCAACCTTCAGGGGTCATCAGGAGACCCCCATTTCCTGTTGTCCAAAATGCCCTCCCTCAATGGTGGGCCATAGGGTATGGCGTAAAGCATGCTAGCTTTGACACAGCCGGGCCTACGTGGCAATCCCACCTCCAGGCATTCTTCATCAGACTTTTATCAAGCACCCAATCTGTGCTTGGCACGTCCTAGGCTCTTTCACTTACTGGGTGATCTTTGGCCAAGTTACGTAATATCCCGGGTCTCAAGGTCCTGTGCTGCAAATGGGGAACATAGTACCTTCCACATAGGATTGAGGATCGAATGAA